TCTCGATCCCTAGAACCTCAAATCTCAAAATCTGTCCGACCTTGCAACAAAATTAGTATACCGCCAAATGCTCCGAGTTCACCACAAATTATTGACAATCCATCAATAGCAGAATCAAATTATAAAGCCCCCTAAATGAGTCAGAATCAAGTGCAGAGAAACATTTGAATGAATTGGAAATCACAACCTCCATCCATTACTACAAGCCTTCACTTACCCAGACGATCCAATAGAGTAAAAGAAGGAAAAAAAAAAAAAAAAAAAAAAAAAAACCGTACAAGGGGAATTGGTTGCGATGGTGTCGAAATGGGCCGAAATCTAGCAGGTTGATTAGAAACGGCCCCCAAAAGAGTAAAAAAAAAAAAAAAAAAAAAAAAAAAAAAAAACTTCCATAGTTGTAGAATTTTTTATGTCAATAGACCATCTTATTCGGTCAACTTCAAGAGTACAAAGAGCAAAAGGCCCTTCCAACTTCAGGTAATCTTTTCCTACTTGAAGCAACTCTTTCATATCATAGATTGTCACAAGCACACAAAACCTTTACCAATCTATCACATCCCCATATAGAACCACACATATACAATGAGGCACTAGAATCATCAGATTGGTGCAAGGCAATGTAGAGTGAAATTGATGCACTTGAACAGAACCATACATGGGTTATCACAAATTTACCAAAAGGGAAATCAGCCATAGGTTGCAAGTGGGTTTTCAAGATCAAGTACAATTCACATGGATCTATAGAAAAATACAAGGCAAGTCTAGTTGCCAAAGGGTACACTCAACAAGAAGGCCTAGACTATCAGGAGACTTTTTCTTTAGTTGCAAAAATGGTCATTGTCAGAACCTTCTTGACAGTGGCAACCATTTAGGGTTTTTACTACAAGAATTTGATGTGAATATTGCCTTCTTACGTGAGGATCTTAATGAAGAGGTGTACATGGAATTACCTCAGGCTACTCAACCTAAGGCCTGCAAGTTGCTCAAAAGTTTATATGGTTTAAAGCAAGTTTCGTGGCAATAGTACTCAAAGCTATCAAATTTCATCACATGGCTTCGCTTTGTTCAATCGAAAGCAAATTACATTTTGTTTATAAATCCCAAGGAAGCTCTTTTACTATTATCTTGGTATATGTAGACAACATAATTGTGGCCAGCAATGACATACAACCTGTCGTTTCACTAAAGATGTTGTTGAATGAAAAATTTAGAGTCAAAGACTTGAGAGTATGTAAGTATTTTCTTGGAATTTAGATAGCAAGATCAGACAATGGAATTATGGTTTGTCAAAGGAAATATGCCTTCGATATATTGGCAAATTCAGGCACAATTAGTACTACAGCAGCAAGGATCTCTCTAGACCAGAATGTCAAGCTATTGAAGGAAGAAGGTAAACTGCTTGATGATCCATCTATGTATAGAAAACTTGTTGGAAAACTCCTTTATCTCACTGTAACAAGATTTGACATATCTTATGCCGTTCAACTTCTAAGCCAGTATATGGATAAACCTAGAATCCAATACCTGTATGCATGCACCACACAAGGTTCTTCACTGCATTAAGGCCCTGTTTGATTGCACAAACTTTTCATGGAAGTAGGAAATTAAATTTCATTTTCCACCTTTTTGCATGTTTGATTGGCCAAATTTTCTTGGCAATTGGTCACGTGACCCATTTTTCTACCTTTTTGAGGAATTAGTTTTCCCATGGGTTTGATAGTTTTTGGTTTTCTAGGTTTTTTTGAAACAAATTCTATCCCCAATTGTAACAAATTCTATCACTTTAATTGATAATTTTCATGAAAAATAAAGCCAAACGAATACCAAAAGATAAAAAATTTCAATGTTTTCCAAGTGAAAAATTATACAAATCAAATACATTTAATTGACAACTCCCTATAAAACAAGTTCTAGGCAATTCAATTCCTTGGAATTCGTTTTCTTACTACCCAAATTCCATTCTTGTAATCAAAGGGACCCTAAGAGAAGTCCTGGACAAGGGCTGTTGTATCCATCTTTATCAACACTACAACTTCAAGCCTATAACGATTCTGACTTGTGTGCATGTCCAGATACACGAAGGTATATCACGAGTTATTGAGTTTTCTTAGGATCCTCATTAATCTCCTGGAAATCAATGAAGCAAGATATGATTTCTATGTCATCTACGGTGGCAGAGTATAGTGCCATGGCAGGCACTTGTTGTGAACTAACATGGTTAAGATTCTTACTCAAAGACTTTACAGTATGTCATCCACAAGCAGCTTTCCTATATTGTGACAACAAATTAGCAATCCGTATTGTCACAAACCCAATCTTCCATGAGAGAACTAAACATATAAAACTTAATTGTCATTTAATTTGAGATAAAATTCAAGAAGGAAGTGCAGTCACTGAACATGTGAAGACAAATGAACAAGATGCAAACATTCTAACTAAAGCAGGCCAAGATGGGAGTAAAGGATATCTACTATCCATCTTACGAGGAGATGCTGAAGAGTGAATTGCCACAAGGAGAAGCCACGTAAATAGCCCGAGGAAGCATTCTAAAAGGAAAATACAACAAATTGAGTAATGAATAAGCTGCTAATAAAAGCATAGTGTATAAGAGATTATTTCTCTTTCCAATTCTGTTATGTAGCTTTTAGAACATCCATATTGTTATATAAGCTGTAAATATTGATACATTTGGAAAGGAGGGAGTGGTGAACTGCGTCCAAACGAGAAAGGAGGTACACAACCTTAAAGTTTAATAATAAGAGAACATTTGACTCTTTCTCTCCCTTAGGATTGGTCCCGCTCCCCCATATATAAGTAAGAAATTACAATTATTCGATAGTATTCGACCTCGATCCAAGTGCCACTTGTCACATCACTAATTTTTGATTAGCAGATTAGGGCTATAGTGGCACAATGATTACCTAGGTCATAGGTTTCGTCTACTCACGCTATTCCTTCCCATTAGCTATTTTGGACGATTGGAGGGCAAATCATTTATCCCTTGAATGATTGCTGCTTAATTAGAGTTAAGTCCTCTTAATCATTCAGTTAGTCGAACTTATCAGGTAAGCTTGATTGGAATAAAGTGTCGAATTCATTTGTTGAGTGCATCCAGGGTATGGTGGCCAAACTCAAAGTGGAAAAGGAAAAGGAAAAAGAAAACACGAGAAATAAATATCTATTGTACAAATAAACTTTAGAGTGATGTCTCGTTCGTTCTTTTGAAACTGGAGATGTATGTGTCTCATTATTTATAATTATCTAAAAGTAAAACTTGATTTTAAAATAAAGAGAAGACAGTAATGCACTACTATTTTCTTTTGGATTAATCATATCGTAGTTGCATTTGGGTTTCTCTACTTTAATTTAAAGCAATTAAATTACAAAACTTTAATTCAAAAGCAATTATCCCACATCGTTTAGACCTTATTAACATGTCTGCCAGAATTCATTGACATTACTCGTTTAATTTATCAAAAAGCCAATGTGTGCATCTTGGTCAGTAAATTAATAACAGAAGAAGTAACTGAACTTTCACTTCAATTGGAATTGGGTGACTGTACTTTCACCTAGTTACAATCGAGTCACTGAATTTTCATCAATTGAATTCTAGTGACTAAATGAGTCAATATATATATATATATATATTTATTTATTTATTAACATGAAATTTTTGCAAAATTTAGTGGTCATTCGTGAAATCATTTCCTGTTAATTCAATAGTTATTGCAAGTTCACACTATTTCATACATATTCAATAAACGAAGTGCAAATACCAAATAGGTTATAGAAAGAAATAATCAAAAAAAGGATATAGACAACAAAGAAGATATAGTGGCTTCGGCAAAAGTCAGCCGTTCTCATTATTTTTCCCTCCTGTACGTTGATGCTCCTGCTAGACCTAGCTCTATTTATTCTAAAATCTTCCATATATCAGTTGTGTCAACATGATTATGGTATTAGGAGGTTCATATCAAATTTTTATTTTTTATTTTTTTGCATCTATAGTTTGTGTCCAATAGATTCTCAAATTGCTCTATGAGTTTTTTTTTTTTTTTTTTTTAGTTTTTTGACGAAACTATGTTGTATTTTCCTTATTTGGTTCAAATTATATTTCTGATGTTGATTGTGTCTTGTGATATTGAATCCATTGTTTTTATTCAAATCAAATTGAGTTATTTTACTATTAATTGAATTCGAGTTTTTGAAATTAAAAAAATTGTTAATGTGTGGAGTAAGAAAGTGTATTATGGCTGTTGGGGGTGGAATAAAAGAGTGATATCCTCGTATTGAAATAAAGTTATGTGGAATGCTCTCTCCAAATTGAAGATCAATGACTCTATTGAAATTAGAATGAAAGTTTAATCACCTTTAGGAAAAGGAAAAAAAAATCCTACCTGCCTCGTTTTGTCCCGTCCCATTAGGTAACCCTCGAATCTACCCCGAATATGTTGCCATCCATAGACCCTAAGGACTTCAAGTTTAATTAACGTATTTTTTTTTTTTTATATTTTTATGTTGGTGTATAGTTTTCTAATGGTCCGTTTGATTGTAAGAATAAAATTTAGATGGAAAGAAAATGAATTTCAGAGAATTGAATTATCTATAACTTATTTTACTAGGAATTGTTAATTAATTATGTTTGATTTGTATAATTTTTCACCTGAAAATGTTGAAATTTTGAATCTTTTTGTATTCGTTTGACTTTGTTTTCCATGGAAATGATTAATTAAATAAATAGAATTTTTTACAATTGTGGATCAAATTTGTTTTCATTGCAAAAAAATAAAAAATAAAATAGCTGGAAAACACTTTTTCACCAAAACGAAAGGAAAACGAATTCCTTAAAAACCAAGAAAAAATGTCACGTGGGGATTGGATGAAAAATTAATTTCATGAAAAATTTTGCTGATCAAACAATATATTTTGATAAAAAATAATTTCATTTTCCATGAAATTGGCTCTTATCAAACAGGCCTAGGTTTATTTTAAAGTAATAATAAAAATTCCCTTCGTCTATTCTCTCTCTCTAAACTATCCGTCTCTCTCAAACAAAGGAACATAGGCGGAGCAATGGCGATAACCATTCAGGACCACATGTTACCAGACGACACCCACAACCTCTACGACGTCAACTTCTTCGGAGACATCATCCACACCCTACTAACTCACGATCCCACCATGGTCTCCCAATGGCTGTCAGAAATCCAGTCCAACCATCCCGAAAACCGCCGTCTGATAATCGGCCTCGATGTCGAATGGCGCCCAAACTTCAATCGAAACACTGAGAACCCAGTCGCCACCCTCCAGCTCTGTGTCGATCGCCGCTGTCTGATCTACCAACTCATTCATTCCCCTTCTGTCCCGCCCTCCCTTATTGACTTCCTGTCCAACCAGAACTACACCTTTGTAGGCATTGGGATTAAAGCTGACTTGGAGAAACTTGAAGAGGACTACGGGTTTGGGTTCAATGCGAATAACGTGGATTTAAGGAAACTCGCGGCGGACACCTATCAGATGAAGGAGTTGAATAATGCGGGGCTGAAAAATCTGGCAAAAGTTGTGCTTGGGAAAGAGGTGAACAAGCCCAGCAGAGTGACCATGAGTAGGTGGGATTACCGATGGTTGAAGCCTGACCAAGTGCAGTATGCTTGTGTTGATGCTTTTGTTTCTTTTGAGATTGGCAGGGTCTTGAATGCTGCTGGGTAAATTGGTGTTCAAGGTCAAATTACTGATGGGTTTAGCAGTTTTTACTTGTTTGTTTAATAAAAAAAAAAATAAAGTTTGTTTGGTGGATTTTGTGAAGGATTTTAAGGATGATGGTTTATGGCTTTATGCCGTTAACGGTGTTCTGTATTCTGGGTTTTAATTTTCTGATTCTCTCGCTTTATATCTTGTCTTGTAAATATGATTGTTGCACTTTCACTTCGGATGTGTGGAATTATGCTCTTCTGAGCTCCTCTTGCGTAAGTTCTTATTTTCTGAAAGTAAATTGGGATTATATATTGAGTTGTGTTCATGATTTTGTTGAGCTTGATCTTTTATTTGCTTTGTTTCTGGATAGTTTTCTTGATTAAGTTGTTTAATTTTTTAAAGGTTAAAAGTTCCATAGTTATTGAGAATGACTATTCTTATTTTCTCAAAATGTTTGTTGTAGGACTTGTCCTTGTGCTCAAATCTTGAAGGGAAAAGCCCCTTGTACAACCGCTGTACGTGGAGGGGTTGTAACACCCCTATTGGGGGGCGCCTGTGCGCCAAGCAGCTCCCGGTTGGTTTTGTGAATGAATGGGCTAATTGATAAAATTATGGGAAATACTATGTGTACATAATTTTTTTTAACTAAACTTGTACCTACTACTACTTAAAATAGGAGGGTGGATGCCACATTTGGGAATGTTTATGTTCACGTGGGACTGCGTGCATTGTGAGAGGGGGCAACTTTCGGTACCCCATTTAGTACAAATGAAATTTTCCTAATTGAAAATTACAGATACTAATAGAGTTAGAGATCCCATTTCATAACTTAGCCAATCCCTAAATCACCTTCTCCTGAATCTAGCCATTTTCTTCATTTCTCCACTCTCTGTACACAAAGTAGCCATCAGCCGGTTAACATCTCAGATGGCAGTCACCGGAGGAAAAAGAGGAGGATGAGACATGCAGCGGTGGTGCCTCAACTATCATCCAACGTTGCAAAATCGTTCGACGCTGCAAAATCGCATCGATGTGGGTGGTTTGCATTGTCACTCATGGCGTCTAGCCCAAAGCTACGGCATCGTGAGAGGCACCCCTTACCTAAGGTGGTACGAGGATCTTTTCTTTTTCTTTTTTCTTTTTTTTTCCCTATTTTTATTTGTCCCATGGCTGATGGAGGTGTTTGTTGTGGTGTGTGATGTGGATGGGATTGTGCGTTATGGTGGCACTGGTGGTGGTGGCTCCGTTGCGTTGGATCTGGTGGTGGTGGCGGCTCGTTGCAGTGGTGTATCTGTTGGTGTGCTGTGTTGACCTATTTGTCGTGAGGTGGTGGTGGCTCCAGTGGTGGCGATGCTCTGTTGTGGTGGTGAATCTGTTGGTGTGCTGTGGTGTTGATTGGTTATCATGAGGTGGTGGTGGCTCTATTGGCGGTGATGCTTTGTTGTGATGGTGGCTATAATGGTGATAGTGATAGTGGTTGTGGAGGTCGTAGGTGGGATGAGATGGGGTTGGATGTTTGTGACCAATTATTTGGTTGATTCTGACTAATAATTGGTTAATTTGTAATATGTGATCTAAAAATCGTGATTGTGACTCACAATTGATTAAGTTGTGATCAAAAAATTAATCGTAACCAATTATCTAATAATTTGCAATGAATAAATGAGTTGTGACAAATAATAGTTTTGATTCTGTGACCGATGAGTAATTTGTGACATATAAAAAATTTTATTTGTGATCGAAAAATAAGTGGTAATCAATAATTTGATAAGTTGTAAATAAAAATTAATCTGTGACTAATTAGTTAGATAACCATAATCAAATTATATAGAATTTTGACCTCAATATTTTTAATTAGTAAAATATATATTTAATAAATTAATTTATAAATAAAATTTTAAAATATTTGATTTTTGAAATTTGAAACTTTTTTTCTTAATTTTACCATGTGTCATACTTAATTTTTTATTTATGAATTTTTTTTTAAAATTATTTTGTGATCGAGTTCTTGTGAGGTGTTATAGGTAATTGAGTGGGCTAGAATTAGCTTTATTGAGCCACTAGTTAGCTTATTTGACAAGATGATATGTAAAGTAGGGGATAATATCAAGAAGACAATGAAAGTAGGTAAAATCTTGTCAATATAAAGTTTAACTTTGGAATGTGTGCACACTCAGATTGCTAGTGGGAAAGAGAAAGGATTTCCCTTGGTGAATTAGCCAAATGGGTTCATAAGAATTAAGCACCAGTCTAGTCAAATTATTAATGTAGATGATTGAAAATAACGGGACAAAATTAAGGCTCCCTTTAAGCTTCATTATTTTCTCATTAAAATAAAAAATGTGATTATTATCTATTAAATCAAGTTACCATATTTAACTTTTTTCTCTTGTGTGGAGCTCATAACGACTATATTTTTCATTCTCATTTTTTACAATAATGTGGTTCAAACGGGGCTAAATTAACTTCTTAAAGTAAATTTGATAGGATAATTGCTGAAAAATGTAAATAGAAGATAGTGGGTTTTCTTCGTTTGATGATTGTATCGAGACTTGAAAGTAATTTGTAGTTAATGGCTTTAGCTCCACCTCGAGTAGGGGACCAATTACCACCATTTATGGCCCTTCAATCAAGAGTTAGCCGTCCTTCGTCATATCAAGCTACAATATTGATCTCGATGCGTGTGCAACTGTCCTAATTGGAGAGTTTTGATTTGTTGCATAGGTCAATAGGTCAGATCATTATTTCACCTACATTGTAAGGTTATTTTCAGTATTGCACCAAAATTTACACAATTTTGTACCAAATTTTGCACCGAATTAAAATTCATCTCCAACCATTACACCAAATGAACAGTATTTTATTATTTTATCCATTTTTTTGATTTTTGACAATGTATTTAATATTTATTTATTTTATAATTATATAAATTACTAAATTATAACTTCGTTAAATTAACAAATCTATTATATTATTGATTATTAAATTGTTCACATGTTTTATAAATTATGTTAAATTGACGAAAATAATTGATTATATTATTAATTTATTATAAACAATTACGTTAAATTTTAAAAAATAATTATTAAATTAAAAATTTCATAATTATTATTAATTATATTATTAAAAGTAATAAAATTTAATAATGTAATTATTATTATTATTATTATTACGAAAATGATACAAATACCCTTAACCATTATCTTTGAAACATGAAAAAAGGGTAAAATCGACATTGTACCATTTGGTACAAAAAATGGTGCAATGAATAGTGTTGCACCAAATATGGTGCAACACTGTTCATGTTGCACCATTTTGGTGTAAAATGGTGCAAATGTTGAAGGGAGGTTTGCACCAAATTTTGGTGCAATTTGGTACAATAGAGCACCCACTGGAGATGGCGTAATTTTCGCATTGAGGACAATATTACTTTCTTTTGATTGATGGAGGTGTTGACGTCAGGTATTATACTTGTTCAATAATCATTTGTTGTATCATATTTGGTGACATCAACAATGGGACATCTTTCAAAGAGTAAATGTTTTCTAGTGCAAAATATTTTCGATTTAAATTATCACAAGTGCACTGTTTGTTACAAATAGTAAAATAAATTTTGAGTCCAAATATTATACCCACAGTGATTGTATTAATATAAGTTCAAATTAACTTAACTTTAAAAGTGTTAAAATTTGTGATTTCCTAAAACTAAATTGTGATCACTTAAATTACTATGAACGTTGAACCTTAATTATTTAAAATCAATATAAAGTTATAATTAAATGCAAGTTTTATAAAAGTATAATGATGAAAAGTGTACTAGGATCCCAAATTCCTTTATATCAATTCCCTTTAACATCAAAACTTATAAATTTGATAATATGATTTAATTATGAAAACTAATATTTTTAATTTGTTTAACAATCTCTCTCGATTAGAATAAAACTTATTTTTACATGTGACCTGACCATATTTTTATGACGAATGCGAACATATAAAATACCTTAAAGATTTATGAATACTTAAATATCACGTAAATATAGCGGTATATTTTTATCCTTTATCGAACTTTATGACAATTGATATTATTTCTAACTTATTTTCAATATTTCGAAGGTAAAACAAGCCTCAAAACACATACAAATATTGCGCATATAATTGTAGAGAAAACTAAATCCATATGAATCATTCAAGAGCTGGAAAACATGTTTTGAAAGAAAAAAAAAGTTTTAAAAGCTAACTGTTCATGATATAAGTTTCATCGTAATCTTAGCATAAAAATAATCTAGCTACTCATAATGTCGAAATAAACAAATAAAAATGAGAAGACATCACCAATAAATTGATGGAATGTAATTAATTTTCTAAATTGAAGTTGCCATCTATCTTCCAATATTTGGCCGTGTTTCGCAATTTCAACCGTCTGTCTTCTTTCAATTTCCAGCTCTTTTCTATCCATGCATATCTTTCCGTGCGTGTGTGTGTGTATATTAACCTTAGCCCCAATGTTATAGTCTTGTTAGGAATCAAAGTGGTAATTGAATTTGAGTCCAAGTACAAGTCTATGCTCGAGCCCATTTATACCTTATTTTTCTCCATGGAAAAATTAATTAGAAACCCGCATTTAAAGATCAATTTTCATAAACAAGAAGGATTAGTTTTAAATTCAAAATTTAGTGGTAAATAAGGTTAATTAAAATTATAAAATTAAAATAATTTATGTACCCACCCCAAACCCCACTATACCACAAAACCCCCAAATCATTTTTCTTGTCTTTTCTCCCTCTCTTTCTTTCCATTATCCCTTATCTCTGGCGGCTTCTCTTCCTCTCTTCCGATGCTGGGCATTGTTGCTAGATACACTCACGAGTCATTTCGGATCTGATATGATCTTTTGGGATGATGTGTATGGCTGTAGATGGATCGGATCTTTCTAAATCCAATCCAATCCGTTAAGAACAATTATCCGATCCGATAATCTAACGGATGTTTGATTGTTAAATCCATATCCAAATTGCTATGTTATCGAATACCCGATTCGATATCAAAAAAATTAGAAAGATAAAAATTTTATATTAGTTAACTTCTAAACCTTAGAAATGAAAGGCCTAAATAGCTTTTTACCCAATTCTTGTCCCACTTAGTTATAAATTATAAATTTTATGATAGTTTATTGAGTATCCAATATGGGAAGTGATAAGTTGAGAATAAGTAAAGCAACTCCAACTATTGGCTCGTTTCGTCGTTTAATTTAGAAAATATATAAATTATTATTTTTTATCTTATTTTAATTATTAAAAAAATTAAATCTCTTCAAATATGTTAATTAACAATATTATA